CCACTAAGCAAGATGGAATCAATGTTGGAACAAATTCTGGAAGGTCAGCAAAAGATCTTAGAGAGACCCTTACCTAGATAGATTGAGAGCAACCTCACACCAGCTTGCCATGCTGTTTTGATGGAAAGTGAAGATGAGTTCGTTGCAGTTGAGGAGAATGATGTTGATTTTGTGGTTGCAGAGGTAGTGTCGACCGACACCAGTACAAAAATCCGAGATATCAAGCTGTGACGAAGCAAAATCGACCTATCTCGACACTGATTTACAGAACCACTCGACACGCAGTCTTAGTGTCGACCGACACCACCTGGTTCTTAGGTTCTTTGAAGAAGGCTTTTTCCAGAATGAGCGGAACTTTACGCATCTCTGTCCCATTCCCAAAAGGTTATTTCTGTTTGTATGGCAAATTTGAGGCCCATCAACCTTTGCTCTGTGATGTACAAGGTGATCTCTAAGCTCATTGTCTCAAGATTAAAATCTTTTTTACCTGAAATTGTTTCTCCCACGCAACCAGCCTTTGTGGAGGAGAGATTGATCTCTGATAACATATTAATTGCACATGAGGTGGTTCACGGTTTGAGAACGCATGATACTTTGTCTAAGGACTCCATGGCAATTAAAACAGATATATATATAAGGCTTTCGACAGGGTGGAGTGGAGTTATTTGAAGCATCTACTTTTGGCTTTGGGTTTCAATAGAAGATGGGTTGAAAGGGTAATGGTATGTGTGTCTACAGTGTTTTACTTTGTTGTTATCAATGGGCAGCCTCATGGTTTGATTGTTCCTCAGAGAGGACTAAGAAAAGGGGACCCTCTTTCCCCATTTCTGTTTGTCTTATGCACTGAAGGCCTCATTCATTTATTGAATAGAGCTGAACAGCAAGGGTTGATTCATGGTATGCGTTTCTCTGATGCTCGACCATCCATTCACCATCTTCTCTTCGCAGATGACACCTTATTTGTTTGCAAGGCTAAGGAAGAGGAATGTGATGTTATCCAAAATATTCTAAAGGTGTATGGAGAAGCCACTGGGCAATTGATAAACTTGGACAAGTCATCTGTTACTTTTGGTTCCAAGATTGAGGAGAACATTAAGGATGTGGTGAAGGCAAAACTTGGTATTAATAGTGAAAGAGGAGCATGTACTTACCTGGGATTGCCTGAATGCTTCAGTGGTTCAAAGAAAGAGATGCTGGCCTATATTCATGAAAAGCTAAAGGATAGACTCTCGGGCAAAGAAATCCTTCTAAAGACAGTGGCAATGGTTATGCCAGTTTATGCCATGTCTTGCTTCAACCTGCCAAAAGGTACATGTGATTCCCTCTCTAGTGCCATGTCCTCTTTTTGGTGGAGCTCTGTTGAGAATAAAAGAAAGATTCACTGGATTGCTTGGGATAGACTCTGTTTATCAAAAGATCAAGGAGGCATTGGTTTTAAAGACATTGAATTGTTTAACTAGGCTTTACTTGCCACGCAAGCGTGGAGACTGTTGCAAGTACCTGACTGTCTGTTTTCGAGATTTTTAAAGAGCAGGTATCACAAAGATCAACCCTTCATGCAAGCGATCTGTGGCTATAGGCCTTCTTTTGCTTGGAAAAGCATCCTTCATGGTCTCATTTTGCTTGAGAAAGGTCTAAAACAAAGGGTTGGAGACGATTCTTCTTTGAAAGTTTGGACAACATTATGGTTGAAAGATGGTCAAATGAGAGCTTCATTCATGATGAATAATCTGGTCGATTTAGAGCTCTCTGTCCATGACCTTATTGATCAGGAGAATGGAGTCTGGGATTCTGACTTGAGGAGAAATTTTTTCCAAGGGATGTGGAGATTATTCTCAAAACCAAACCAGTGTTGTCCTCTCCTGACTTTTTGATTTGGAAGCATAATAAGAGTGGGGATTACAGTGTGCGTTCTGGTTATTGGCTTACTTATCAGGTATTCAAGAAAGAAGAGATCTGCTTTGCAACGCTGCTTCCTTCATTAATTAAATGGCTTAAGATATCAGATTTGGAATTTGTTGGCTCCATCAAAGATCAAAATTTTTATCTAGAAGGTGGTAAGTGGAGCTGTTCCCTGTTGCTGAATCATTAAATGCCAGGGGTATGGACTTTGATGAGAGATGTCAAATCTATGGTGTTGAAGGAGAGTCTATCAACCACATTCTCTTTACTTGCACTTTGGCCAGACAAGTTTGGGCTTTATCGGGTTTCCCTTGGCCTGAGGAAGGTTTTGACCAGAGATCTATCTATCAGAATGTGCATCAGATTCTTTCCTTGTCTGGTTGTGTTAAGCTGCTTTCTCAGCTGAGAAGAACTATCCCTTGGATTCTTTGGTTATTGTGGAAAAACAGAAACAACCTTGTCTTTGAGGGGAAAGTCTTTCTGATCTCTGATTTGATGACAAAAATAAGAGAGGATGCAAGTGAATGGTTCATGGCTCAAGAAGTAGAGACTAAGTTAGAAGATAATTCCCAAAAGGTACTACAAGTCCATTCCCATTCCTGGTGTCCACATGCTAGACTGTGGCAAAATGTAATGTAGCAGCTTCTTGGGACAAAGTTAAAAAGACGAGTGGTGCTGCTTGGGTTCTGAGAAATGCACAAGGTATTGTTCTCCTTCACAGCAAGAAATCTTTTGATCTCGTTAATTCGATAGAGGAAGCTGAGATCTTTAGTTGCTTATGGGCTATGGACAGCATGAAGAGCCTTCATGTGCTGAGAGTTATTTTCACAATTCAACCTAACTATTTGGTGAGAGCTATTTTGAGACCCGATGCTTGGCCAAATTTTAAGTCACAATCGGAGGAGCTAAGACTTGCTCTTTCTTTTCTACCGGATTGGAGAGTGGAGGATGAACAAAGAAAAGCTAACCAGGGTGCCTTCCTAATTGCTAGCAGTGTCATAAGAGAGGAACGATCACAATCATATATAGCACAAGACTACTCTCTTTGGCTACAGAAGATCTTTGAAGATGATAGATGCATTACTTAGTGTAATGATTTTTCTGTAGTTGATTGTCCTCGTTCCTTTTTGTGTATTTTTTTGAACAAGTTTCAATTATTTATCATATGAATCATTCAGACAAAAATAAAAAAGGAAAAATGATGTGTTTGATTTGAATGGTATTATTGTCATTTTGCCTTGTTTTCAAAAAATCCATTAATTACAAATATGTCACTTCTCCTTTGACTTAATTATTTGTTAGTCTTATGGCATAAAATGCAAATACTCTTTTTTTTTTTTTTTTTTTTTTTAAATAGAGAATGGCATGACTTGTTATTTGTTACTCAAGAATGTTATTTAGACTTTTAACCTAAACTTTGGATTATTCTAGTAAACCCAACTCAACGTGTGTCATTTTAGTTATTTTAGCTAAGTTTTGAGTTATTCAAGGAAAATCTCAGTATAATAATAGTCTACTAATTTAAAGTGAAAGAAGTCAAAAAATTATTTTTGTAGAATTCGTAGAAATAACACAACAAGGTGAAAGAATTCGAATTATCTTTCTTATACTAGTCCTTTTTAGGTTATCTTCTGAAAAGGAAAACTAAATTCAACATTTCATTTTTTTAATTCTTTGGATTAATCATAATTAAATTTAGAAAACAAGAAGAAAAAGAAAACTATGCTTTTAATTTTCTACTTTAACAAACTTCTAAAATTGGAATCACAAAAATCGTAATGCTTCAAAAACAAAAATCGATACTTTCAAAACGCTTCAAAACACGGGATTTTCTTTACCTTTTCTAAATTTATATAAATCAAATATAAATCAATATAGATAATAAGATTAACTTTTTATCACTGAATTAAGAAAAATAATTTTTTAAAACACCAAAATATCATATAATGTCATCCAAAATAACATAAAATAATATATGGTTAATCTCTAAATCGTTTTAATATTTCAATGTTAAAGACACATACATTGGCTATGTTGTTCGTTTCGTCGATATTTTGAAATCATTAGTTATTCGTCGATATTTGTAACGTCGAGATATACTCAACTAAGGTCTGATTGATAGAAAACAACAACTAATCAGATCTCAACTAAATCTAATTTTGAACTCGAGTGGAGAAAATGAAAAAAGTCGCCCAACCGCTTCACGTGCCACCACAGATGTATAAGGTTGTAGATCGACTGATTGAAATCAAAGAGACGAAATTGACAAAGGAAAAAAGAGGATATTACGACAAAAACTCAAGATATCCGCGACATCAAACTATCAGGGTTCGACTTTTATCTATCTGGATTCGGATTCGCGGTTTCTAGATATTTGTATTCTGGATATAAGTCCAAACATCAAGATATTCGCAGATATGAATCCATATATTATTAAAATATTTAAAATTTAGCTTAATCAAACTTTTAATATAAATCTAATTATATTTAAAAATTCACAATCCGAATCTAGATCCATCCATCCCAAATATCATGTTTTCCGGATTGGATCGGAGCAAATCCCTCGGATTTTAGATAATAGTCTCATGCCTACCACTAAATTTAAAAAGTGCTTTTCATTTCGAAAATATCTAATAATTACTCCTTTTATTTTTAATTAATCTAAGATTTAAACTTTTCACAAATACTAAAAAAGTGTATTAAAATTTTATTGTAAATACATTTTTTCTGATTAATAATTTTCCACAACTTGAACAAGTAATTAAATTTTTTTATGTCTATAATTCATAATTAGTAACTAATAAAATCTCGAAAAAAAAATTAAAGTTTATATTTTTTGCAAATTTTTTATTTTTGTAGAATTTGAAGTAATAATAAACAAAGAGAGTAGGTTTTTTTTTTTTTCCGTATCTAGTAATTTTGTATGTCGGATAATATAAAAATGTTGAATTGTGTTAAAAATTCGCTTTAAAAGGAAAAGAACAAAACTGAGAATTAGAGATGGAGAAATGAATCAAAAACAATAGCAACCACAAACGAAACATCTCATAAAAACGATAATAAAAAACCAGAAAATCCTCTTCACTTACGACGCCATTCGAGAAAACGAAGACGAAGAAGACTATGCTTCTCTTGCAACAACCTCCACTGGTTTCATCTCGATTTCACTCTCTCTACTTCCTCACTCACCACCACCACCACCACCACCGCTTCTTCCAACCACCAATCTCAGCTTTCTCTGCAACCACATCTGCTTCTTTACCATCATCATCTCCGTCTTCTTCTTACTTCTCCTCATGGAATGGTTTAGATACAAACGAAGAAGACGATGAATTCTCCTCCGAGGTTCACCGTCGCTACGACTTCTCTCCACTTCTAAAATTCCTCTCAAGATTCGGACCAGTCGAGTTAGTTTTGGATTCAGAATCGGAATCGGAATCGGAAGCTTCACCGGAAACGCTTAATCCGGTTGAGTTCGAGCTCGTCGAGTCATACAGAGCAGTACCAGCACCATATTGGCACTCATTGATAAAATCTTTATGCTCATCAACATCATCTCTTGGTTTAGCTTACGCTGTAGTGTCATGGCTACAAAAACATAACCTCTGTTTCTCTTATGAGCTTCTCTATTCGATTCTCATTCACGCGCTTGGTCGTTCGGAGAAGCTTTACGAGGCGTTTCTTCTTTCTCAGAAACAAACGTTAACACCATTGACATACAATGCCTTGATTGGTGCTTGTGCTCGGAACAATGATATCGAAAAAGCGCTTAATTTGATCTCTAGGATGCGTCAAGATGGTTACCAATCCGATTTCGTTAACTATAGCTTGGTTATTCAGTCGTTGACTCGTTGCAATAAAATTGATTCAGTTATGTTGCAGAGATTGTATAAAGAGATTGAAAGAGATAAGCTTGAGCTTGATGTGCAGTTAGTTAATGATATTATTATGGGTTTTGCTAAATCTGGTGATCCTTCTCGGGCTTTGCAGCTTCTTGGTATGGCTCAAGCGTCGGGTTTGAGTGCGAAAACCGCTACTCTTGTTTCGATTATTTCTGCGTTGGCGAATTCGGGAAGGACTTTGGAGGCTGAAGCTTTGTTTGAGGAGTTGAGACAGAGTGGGATAAAGCCTAGAACGAAAGCTTATAATGCGTTGCTTAAGGGGTATGTGAAGACGGGTCCTTTGAAAGATGCGGAGTTGATGGTTTCGGAGATGGAGAAGAGAGGTGTTTCGCCTGATGAACATACATATAGTCTGCTTATTGATGCGTATGTGAATGCAGGTAGATGGGAAAGTGCGAGAATTGTGTTGAAAGAGATGGAAGCTGGTGATGTACAGCCAAATTCTTTTGTTTTCAGTAGACTCTTAGCTGGTTATCGCGATAGAGGTGAGTGGCAAAAGACATTTCAAGTTCTTAAGGAGATGAAGAGCATTGGTGTTAAGCCCGATAGACAGTTTTACAATGTGGTGATCGATACCTTTGGGAAGTTTAATTGTCTTGATCATGCGATGACGACTTTTGATAGAATGTTAAGCGAGGGGATTGAACCTGATAGGGTGACTTGGAATACGCTTATCGATTGCCACTGTAAGCATGGTCGGCATATAGTAGCAGAAGAGATGTTTGAGGCAATGGAGAGGCGAGGGTGCTTGCCTTGTGCTACAACTTATAACATCATGATCAATAGTTATGGAGATCAAGAAAGATGGGATGATATGAAAAGATTGTTGGGAAAGATGAAGAGCCAAGGTATACTTCCTAACGTAGTGACACACACAACACTCGTTGACGTTTATGGCAAATCCGGTAGGTTCAATGATGCGATAGAGTGCTTGGAAGAGATGAAGTCAGTTGGGCTGAAACCATCATCGACCATGTACAATGCCCTCATCAATGCTTATGCACAAAGGGTACCATGACTGTTACTAGTATCCATTAGAGACCCCTAAGAGAATTATCATTTGATACTGATAGTTTAATGATGCTTCCGTGCCAGGGTTTATCGGAGCAAGCTGTGAATGCATTTAGAGTGATGACATCAGATGGACTAAAGCCGAGTTTATTGGCTCTCAATTCCCTCATCAATGCCTTTGGTGAGGATAGAAGAGACGCTGAAGCTTTTGCCGTGTTGCAGTACATGAAAGAAAACGTAACAACTTTTCTTAGCTAAAACCCTGATCCCATCTTAATGAACTACTTACTGACCAACATCATATCTTACAAAACAACTGTAGGGCGTAAAACCAGATGTGGTCACATACACAACACTCATGAAAGCTCTCATTCGTGTTGATAAGTTCCAGAAGGTATGAATCTTATCTTTTGGTTGATAGGGGAATAACCGAAAGTAGGATATTGACCTTTCGAGATGTGATGGTTTTACAGGTACCAGGTGTTTACGAGGAGATGATAATGTCAGGCTGCAAACCAGATAGAAAAGCTAGATCCATGTTACGGTCAGCTCTAAGATACATGAAGCAGACGTTAAGAGCCTCATAGAAATATAGGAGAACAATGCTAAGGTTTTATCTCGAGCTCAAGTGATAGAAATTTTCTCCAGCTTTTGATATCGTCTCACAAGCTCAGGACAGATATTTAAACGACACAAACCACAGTACCACACATCACAAGAGGAAGTCTTTCATACAAATCCTCACATTCTCTGTCTATGGAAAGATTTAACCTGTACAAATATATAACTCTGTTGACCAAATTGGATCCAACAACTGTCTGTGTACTACATAGATCATGAAGGAAATTATACATTGGAAGTTCTGAACCAAAGCTCCTTTACTTAAGAATCAATCTCAAATCCAAAGAATTATGTTGTCTTTCATGTGACACAACATTCCTAAAATAAGGAATACAAGTTTTGCAACCGAAAAAATTACTAACTTACAAGGGTTAATTAAATGAGAGCTTCCTCCAATAGTTTCATGGCATGACAGGTATGGAGTTTCTACTATACTTGCTCTTTGCTATCCTGGAACAGAACATGAACATCAGAAGTACTGAGGACAACAAGAAGAGCCTGAAATAAGTTTTTATCTCCTGCATTCCGACATCAATCACTTCCATGTTCTTCCCATATCTATTCTTCCTTTCCACCAAGTAGCCGTCCAGATACTCGTCTATTGACACCCATTTCTCTGCAACCTTGGAACTGTTTCCGTCTAACTGCAGCGGTCCCAGTTGGAAAATCGTGAAGAATGCAGCAGACCAGTCATTCAGAACTCTCTGAGTAATAGCAGCAAGCCAAGTTGTGAGTTTCTCCCTTTTTTGGGTAGATGTTCGAGAGAAATTGATACAATTCAAAATCATAGTACCTTGAAATTGGGTAGATCAACAGGGTTGAACATTTTAAAGCAATCTCTTGAAGCAGTCTGGTTGTCCCCATAAATCTGGCAGTGATAGCAAGAGTTATAAAAATATGCGACACAGGTTGTCATGAAAGTGTCGAGAGTAAATAACTTCTGTCACACAAACCTCAAAGGTAAATGCCATTGGTGCCTTTACAACATCATAGATATAGTCTGTAGCTGTACCATGTGCCAGGTACCTAATATCGAGAAAACCAATTAAATACGGGAAAAAACATCCTGAAGGGGATATGCTAACTTTCAGAATGAGACTCAAACAAAAAATAATTTGAAAAACATTGCTCAGAGGCAAGTGAAAAGGGTTAAACGATGGAGCACTAAAGTTTACTGAAAATATTCATAAGAAATCTTTAGGAAAGAGACAAACCCAACAGAGCCGCCGCCAGATCCAATCATGCAGCGGTTGTGACAATGAAATTTATTAAGTTTTTCAAGTAAGGTCCTCATCTTCTGTGAAGGCAATCCCTCTGGGGTTATGTTTTTGTGGTCATACGGCATAAATAAAGCCTGAAAAATTAAGAAATGCGAATCAAACTTCTGAATAGATACATAATAAAGACCAGATCAAGATTTGTTTGTTATACAATTTACAAAATGTGAAGAAAACATGAGAAATCAGAATCAAACTTCTCAACGTATACATAATATAGACCAGATATGAACATTCATGGAATCCATCATTTACAAGTTTACTCATAAATTCCAACAGCAGTATTTAAAACCTTTGTTCACATTTGAAAACTTAAAATGGATAGACGATAACACTAAATCACAAGAAATCATCACCTCCATTCCAGAATGCACGTTTATCCATATGTGAGGATCAAATGATATAGCTAGCTTCCGCATAATTTGAGTTTCGGGCTCACTAAACGGAGCAGTTCCTGGATTCTCTTCATATGGATCATAATCCTAGAAACAAAACACACAAAAATGGACCAATTTCCATGACGCGTTAGCAAGGGATTTTGAAGGAAACAGAATGTGGAGTAAAAGAAAGTACCTTTTCTTTCTTGCCCCAGTCAACACCCCAATTTCGGTTCAGGTCAACTCCTCTTCCTGTAATTACAGATATAATAAAAGATGAAATGCTAAAGAAAAACATTAGTAACCATGTATTGAAGAGACAAATAAGGTTACCATTTCTTCGTTCACAAAGATCTCCAGATTCAACACGTTTGCGGCCATTCGGGTTTTCTATAGGAACCATCTGACAAAAAATAATAGCATCTTATATGAGTAAGTGAATTTATCAAATACCACAAAGATGAAAATGAGACTGCACGGATCAGACACACTGACTTTTATGACTAGCTTGTCTAATGTGTTGTTCAGGGCTGCTCCGTTTTTCTTTGGTAGGAACTGTTCTTCGCTTAAAATTGACAAAATCCGAAAGGCAAGTTCAGAGGTGATAAGTTCTCTCCCATGCTGCCCAAAAGTCTGGAAGAAAAGGAATCATCTGTCAAAAAAACAGGTATTACCAAAACTATGAAGAAACTTCACCTATAAAAAATATTACAAGTTATTCGATATTCCTGTAATAGAGAGTTTTGACTGAATAGGTTAGAAAGAGTTATAGAGGGAACTTACAAGTAGGATCCTAAAGTTCGACCTGTCATCACTATCTCTACCACCGCGACAATAAGTAACCACGTTGACCTCTGCATTGTAGCCTTTGTTTCCCGATTTAATCATCTCAATCTATGAAACAAATATTGACAATCTTCACTGAGTCTGTGCTAAAAATACAAGAACCAAAAAAACGAAGCTAAAATGGCACTAACCGAGAGCTTATCTGGATGTCGATGTACTAAAGAATGTATCTGCTCCATTAAATCATCACTGCAACAGATATAGAGGATGGTGATGATAAGAACAGAGCAATGAAATTTTCTTCCTTATCTATTGCAATCTATTGAATCTTGATTGCAATCAAGAACTTTAACTATCTTGGAGATTCGTTGTAGAGAGATCTCATAACTCTCCTATAGCCAAAAAGGTTCTCACGTTACCAAATAGTCAAAGACCCTTTCATTCTAATTCCAGTCTCCTCCTATTTATACCTTCTACATGTATACTAATATGAGCAAAAAAACAGAAGTAAGTATAACAAAAGGTCATTCTCTACATGACTACATCAACATTTGAGTATACGATTATGATGACTCGATTGGCCTGTAACTATGTGTGCTTGCATAAGTTGTAGTAGGAAAAACAGATTTACTAGTATTTGTTGTAGAGATCTCCATATTTTCCTCTAGCCAAAAGACTCTCACGTTACCAAATGGTCAAAGACCCTTCTACTCTAATCCTACCCCTCCTATTTAAAACCCATTACTGGTATGCTTATTAAAGCGAAATCTATTTATCAGCTTCTATGAGCATAAAACCGAAGTGGCTCTAACAAAAGCTCATTCTCTACATTTTGATTATACGATGACTCAATTGGCCCGTAACAAAGTGTGGTTGCATCATTTGTAGTTGAAAAAACAGACAGAATTCCTCAGTACTTGTCATATTTGTGAATGGTGAAACGAATGCAATCACTTATCAATTGGAAGACTTGTTTCACTGATTTAGTAACACTTGAGAGGCAAACCTAAAAACCAAACTAACTAGAAAATTCCAAAAGCGAGAGACAAATATTATGAATCTGCGATAAACTAGAACTAAATTGATCCAAGGGAAATCTGAAATTGACCTGGAGTGGTAGAGATCCCAGTTAATGGGCGTAACAAAAGACGAGTCAGAAGGATTAGCTTCTCCGAGAACGAGTAACAACAACAATGGTGAGAGGAGGAAGATCGCGTAGTGAATTAGTCGACGACGCATGGCCGCGACGAGAGAGAGGAAGGGACGAGAGAATTGGGAAGAAACGAATCTCTTCGTCTTCTTCTTCTTGTTCAAGATTGGTTGCTTCTTCGTAGGGTTTGATTGATGTCATATCTCATGTCTTCTTCAGAGAAATGGATCTAATGGAGTTTGAGTCGGAGATTGGCCAGATCGGGCTTCTTGTATCATCCGCTTTGTCTTTTTTATCTACTTTCCTCTGCTAATCAAATGTTCTAAGCAACTTGTACGCTCATTATAATCAAATACGCAAATAGCTATGTTTCTTGTATAAATGCATTTTTAAATCTGACATATGATTTTTTTTTTTTTCCTAAACACGATTCTGGAAAGAAAGAAAATCATTTGAATTATTGAATTAATCAAAATTTGAGAAAATATGTCTAATAAGTATCTATTTTTCGAAAATTATTTATTTCAATCTATCTGAGTTATTTTTCTTATTGGTCAAAAAGCTATAGGAGTTATATTTCTATCAAAATTCTAAATACTAGGTGAGTACGCCTTTCACTTTATATTTCATAATTAGAAGTATATAAATGTAAACATTAGGTTAGTTTTTGGTAATAGGCAAGAAGACAAAATTTCCCTTATAAACGATATTACCCTGATATTAAGCATATAAATCTACTTTTTTTTTGCATTTACATTTAGATTCCCAATAAAAAACTGTTCTTACTACACATTATCTTTTTAAAATATTCTTTCATTACTGTTATCCTTAAACCAAAAGAAGAAGATAAAATGCAAAGAAGATTGGAGTACCCGCACTAAAATCAATGATCATGGTATTTAGGTACAAATGTTAAGCATTGATAATTGGGCTGTCGTTTCGGTTGAACAACGATGTTATTAGTTTATAGCAAATAAACAAATAGGACCAAACCTTGATAAGCCTTATTGATTTGTCGAAACATAAATGTAAAATAATTCTCGTCTTTAAATTTTTATCGTTGTCACTTTTGCAAAAACAACTAAAACAATACGAACTCCATTACTGAAGAACTCCATCATTGAGGATTTTAGTCCAATAATTTGATGTTAGAGGTTCTGACGTTCTCCTCACTATTAATATATTATATAGAAAAGTTTTTAAGAGAATAACCTACTCAAAAAATTCTGGAGTATGAGAAACCCAATAAAATAATTATATTGAAGAAAAAAAAATAATTAAATATAATTAGTATTAATACAATAAAATATGTTAATTTTTATAATCATATATATGAAATTATATATTATAATTAAATAATATATGTTCCATTAACTTACATTAATTATTAGTGGACACATGTCAAATGCTAAAGTGATGATGTGTCACTCGTATGGAGAGAGTTGGCCAACTTTCATATATATGATTGTTTTAGGTCTCTCAACAAAGGATGATGTGGAAATTAAAACTGATGAAATTGAAAAAAACAACTGACCCGGTATGATTGTAATCCCCTCGTGACCATGGTTACAATTATTATGGTTACGATTGATTAATTACCAGTTACGGTTATAATTATTTTTTAATCATAACCTTAACCACTATATATACGGTTAAAACGGTTATGGTTAAATACGGTAACATTTACAACGGTTACGGTTAAATACGGTTACAATTATTTAATGATTACGATACAGTTAATATCGGAGACAAAATCTTACGAGTTACCTGACTTTTTATACTACTTTTAATAAGATAAAAAAGTATGATATAAACCAAATTTTCTTTATTTCGAGCAATATAGCATCACAACATATTTATTTGAGAAAAGACCATTTTTTGTAACGTAGATTTTTTCATATGCAATATCATTTATTTTTTTGAAAATATTTATCTGAACATTAGATATTTGTTTTTGCATTATACGTAGTTACAATTATATTTTTAAAGTTTTAACTATACGGTTAATAGTGCGGTTAACCGTACGGTTAATTAACGGTTTTGATACGTTTACGGTTAATTAACGGTTACGGTAGTATATTTTTTAACCGTAACTAATCTATTTTTATGATTAACGGTTACGGTTTTTAACCGTTTTATACGGTTACGGTCTGGAAACGATTGAAAAACGGTCCGGTTATGGTCTGAAATACGGTCACGGTTAGCTTTTGGTCATGCTTACCCTCATCGATAAGGTTAGAACGCGGTTGTTATCTTCGACAAAAAAATTTTTAGTATCAATTGATTTTGATGTATCTAGATTTCTAGATGTCAAGGTATTAAAAAAAGAGAATTTATAGAAACTAACCTTGGATTCAAAAAAAATTCACAAACTAACCACGAGCTACAAACCCTGTCTCTAACATGTCGGAACAGCTGTGTAATTACGTATATGTCCTTTGTAACACGCTTTTTTTTCGAATTACATGTGATAGCATAATATATCTCTTTTTATCATGTATTTTTCTCGTACTACATGTTATTTATAAAGAACACATAGTATTTCTCGGAAAAAAACATTATATTCAGTGTAATATCTGTCTTTATTATGTTATTTTGTAATAATACACGTGTTTTATTAAGATCACATGTGAATATCTGTCTTTATCATGTTATTTTATAATAATACACATGTTTGATTAAGATTACATGTGAATATCTGTCTTTATCATGTTATTTTGTAATAAAACACGTGTTTTATTAAGATCACATGTGATTTCTTTTTTAAAAGATGATTATTTTTTAGTAATATACACGATTTTTTTTAAGATTACATGTGATTTCTTTTTAAAAAGTTACTATTCAGATTAAATTTTCCATGTCAATGTTTTTTCTTAAAAATTCACTATGTTTTTTAAAATATCATGTCTTTTAGTTAAATATAACATGCGAAATTTAAATGTTACATGCTATTTTGAAAAATCTCACGAAACTGTCTCACATATCGTTGATCTTGCAACAAACGAAGGATAGTTTTGGTATTTCACATCATCCGACAAGGTGGGTCCATGGCTATTTTCCAACAAAAAACTTTCTCTCTGCTATTTTGTTAATTTGAGTGTTTTATTTGGCTATTTCTTAATATCTCCCTTAAAAAAACATGTTCGATTGGCATAAAGAAATATTATTCATGCACTACTAATTTCCAAATTGAAGCAAAAGTGACAACAAAGAAAGAAACAAAAAAATGTTATGCTAAAAAAAAATGAAATGGTTTGCCGTTAAACTTTTATGTTTCACAATATAAATCGTTTTCAAGTTTCTATGCAAATAAAATAGATGATAATGAAAGAACATAAAAATAACATGGTGCTTTATCTAAGTTTTTTGTTTTTTTTTTGTTTTTTTGTTTTTTTGCCAAGAACAAGATGCATGGCCCATCATGATGATCTTTATCTCAAGTTTAGAATCTCCCTAAAATCTTATTCATACCCATTAATTTGACAATTAAATTGCAAATAAGTGTTAAGATTTGACCATTGGACCAACTTAAAATTTTGACTATTTGACAAATTCAAGTTTAATATGTTAATATTTTTAGGCTTTATTAAATAACCAAATTAAAATAGAATCGGTCGGGTTGAGCAAGATCCGACACTAACAACCAGCAGTAATCAAGTTAACACAATTTTTATTTGACTCAATTCAAAATTGTTAGGAAATACAAATTTTAGTAATAGAATTCAAGCTGTTTAGGCACTTAGCAAACATTTAGTAATTACAAATTAATGTTGAGATTTGATCATTTGACCATTGACCATTTGACTAATTCAAGTTTAATATGTAAAATTTCCAGAGCTTCGTGAGATGCCAGATCAGACACGAACAAACATTGTTAATTATCAAATTAACATAATGTCAATTTGACTCGAATTAAAATTATTAGGAAATAAAAGTTTAGTGATAGAATAAGCACTGTTTAGGCATTTTGCAAATGTTTAGCATTTAAATAATATTTATTTCCTATTGACTATTAATAGTCATAAATATTTATATCTAAAAAACCTAAAACTTTCTCTTTTCAATTAACGTATAAAGTAGCTAACCTCGTAGACTTGTCCGAACAAGGTAAACTTATTTAATAAAAAAGTTTTGTTTTTTTCCTCCATAAATAATTATGTTCAAAAACGGTTTTATTAGGAAAAAAATCCTTCCATTTGAATCTAAATCAATCTTGACCGTTGGATCAAATAAATACAACCGTTAGACCTCAGAGGCGCTCCTTCTCTCATAAAGCTGTCAAAAATCTCTTTCTCTCCTATTTTCAGATATTGAAATCTCTTGAAGAAGCTTTTTGGGCGATGTCGAAGATGAGATCTTACCTGAAACCACCTCTTCCCAAATCTCCGATCCGTCTCCGATCACGTCAAGTCCTTCACTCATCTCTCCAAACACCATCACCAGGTAATTTCAAATCTCTCGATCTATTCGATTTTTTTTCTCTCGCTTTCTTTGATTGATTCCGTCAAATTTAGGTTTTCAGAAGTCGGGACGGCGATTGAGTGACGTAGATCTAAACCCTAAACCCCAATTTGAATACTCATCAATCTCTAGCGAGATACATGCTTTAGCAAAGATGGTGAAAGACGAGTTTGCGGAAGAAGAGAACCGGAAAAAGTCGAGAGATGCGGGTTTTGGTTCGAATTTGGAGAGTTTGGCGACGAATTCTGTTCCGGTTTTCGAAAGAGGGAGGTTTTACGAGGAGTATTCGGCTAAGAGGAATGAACGATTGAGGAGGAAGAAAGGAGAAGAAGCTGTGGAAGGAGGAGTTGTGAAAGGAACTCCTTATAATCTTGGAGTGAATCATGAACCGATGACGAATAAGCGAAGAGGAACTGCGAAGAAGGAGAGCATTAAGAAGACAGTGGTATCGATGGTTGAGACTAGTATACCGAGGTATTCGTTGAGGAGTATGACCAAGGAGAATAGGAAGCCGCCGATTCCGCTTAACGTTGCTGTAAGTGCGATGAAGACTGTTACTACTCGAAGAGGTAGGAGAATCTGAAACTGAGGTGATGTTGCTTTGGTGTGTGTTGTAAGGAATTGAAAGGGATTTGGTTTCTTGAACTTATTTTGGTATTGTTTTGCTTGTGGATTTCGATTAAATCCGCGGATTTTCTTTAGGGGATGTTTTTGTTTTCTTGATTACTGATACATTGAGATAAGCTTTATCAGTTATCTACAGAATGTTTTTTTCTTCATCAAATCTTCCCCTTGATTTACTTCTACAAAGAATTGAGTAGATTAATGCCTCTTGTTTTGAAATGGGTTTACGTTTACACACTCATCATTATAGATAATTGGGTTTGTAGAAATGGAACAGAGTCCTAGAGAATTTACCAAATGAAGTTGGTTACAATGGAGATTAAGCCTCTAGATTGTGTTAGATAAAGTGTGAGAGGAGAGGGATTAAAACCTCTTTTTTTGAAATGGGTTTACATTTTACAGACCCATAATCTTAACTAGTAGATGAGTTGGGTCTCTAGAAATGGAACAGAATCCTATAGAATTACCAAATGAAGTTGGTTTAACACGAAACGAGGCAATTAGGCGCACACATGAACCGCAAACCACTCCCATCTAGCGCTCAGAGGATCCGAGTGGTGTTTCAACTTTCTTAGTTTCTTATATAACTTTCCAAGAATTTACAAACAACTTTGAGGACTTTTCAACAATGTACGTGTGTGTGTGTGTGAGTTTTTTGGATAATTTGTAGAGTTGCTTGTACTTCCTTTACATAAGAGTTAGAATTTACGGAGGAAAATCAATAGTATAATACTAAAACTCAAGAGCATATACAGATATACAACAAACATTGGATTGATACAAAATCAAATGAATTAGAAAAAGTAAATAATTTACGAATCCTATAATTACAGACTTACAGTACAAGATGAAAAGTTTAGAACAAGTCTAAATTTGTTCAGATTTGCTTATGAGTTGTATAAGAGCATTTGCTTTTCTTTGAGCTCTGTTTGTTCCAGATGTGGTTATTTCTACAAGATATTCATAGACGCCGAATTGAAGCGCAGCGAGGATAAAAGACGAGTTGTTAGAGCCTAGTTCAAGTAGCACTGAGGTTGCACACTCTTTGTTCTTTGGGGTGCCTTGTCTGATGAATTCCACAAGAGTTTCAATGAAGGAGAGTTGTCCAATGGCTTGACGTCCTTCAGGGTGTGATGCAAGAAGCAACAGAATCGAAAGCGCTTCATCGATCATCCCTAAGTTTCTATCTTTCAGAAGGTTGAGCAAAGGTTGAACAATACCAGCATCAATAGCTCTTCCTTTATTAGCTGAGTTAAGGGACAAGTTAAAGAGTGCAGTGAGAGCATCTTTCTTCCCTCTTAATGTCCCATGCTGTAGTAAATCGACCAAAGGCGGGATCCCATTTGATAATCCGATGGTTACTTTGTTCTCATCGAGCATCGATAAACTAAACAAAGCTGCAGCAGAGTTCTCTCTCGCCTCTCTGTTTCCATTTTGAAGGATTTCAATAATGTTTGGAATGGCTCCTTCATTTGAGATGAGTTTCTTGTTGACCTCATCGATAGATAGATTCAACAAAGTCGTTACCGCGTTCTCTTGGATTCCTGAATCAGGGTAAGAAAGGAGTTGAACTAACAGAGGAATTGCTCCTGCATTCGCTATTAAAACTCGGTTCTCGGGATTTTCTCTGGCGAGCAAACGCATCTGCTTCACTGATCTTCTTTGTTCTTCCAATTGGCTTGACGATAACGCTTCCACCAGCAAAGATACCTCATCTTTCTGCTCATTTTCTGAGTGGGGACTTGCTTCTTTCTCTGGAATCTTGAAATTGTTCTTCTCACACCACTGCATAATCAAGTTCTTTAAGGCATAATTGGGTGCAAGAGAGAGATGATCTAGCTCTTGTCTAGTTTTCGGACAAGTCTTATGTCCCGCATCAAACCACTTCTGTATACTCTCCTTTTCATATGTCTATAAAATTACAAACATATTCTTATGTTAGTTTCAAGAATGAACCAAGCAAATTTGAACCAACCATAAATTCAATTACCTGTCCAGTGGCGATGATAACCGGGTCTAGCATTATTTCGAGAGTGATAGGACACAAAAACTCGTGAGGTAATATTAGAGAAGTCGACTTGGTGAATGCTTTATTGATGACAGGTTGGTAGAGAATGTCGGTAGCTTCAAGACCTTGAAGCTTCTTGAACTTGTTAAGAAGCTCAATGATATGTTGTTTACTCTCTATATTCAACCCTCCTTTGTCTTGAATTAAGCTTTTTATGGCTATGGTTTCCGTCTTTAAATCCTCTATTGTTTGTAGCTCAAGCTTTTTCGCAAGCCTCTCGATTATAGCGCTATCTGCGTTTCGAGGATCGGTTTTTGAGAAGACCACCATCATGTCCACTGCTAGCTCTATGTCTTGTGTATCTGTTCTTCTTTTTGCTTTTTTAAGTTGTTTACACAATGCATCAATCTACAACAACAACAAAAAATGACTCATTTTTGAAACTATACAAGATATAATATATTCTTTTTTAGGTTAAAATTTCGCAGAGTTTTGGGCCGAGACCCATACATCTCCGCAAGGAGTGAACAAATAATTTACCTCTTCTTTCACATCTTCAGAAATCGTCAATTCGTCGAAAGGAGCTTTAACAAGAACACGATTCAACTTTTCGTAAATCGAATGAAATCTCGTCATCATTGTTTCGCTATCCAGTGCCTATAATCATAATAACCACAAACAATTAAAGATTACGTAGGAGACAATCAATCATAAATTGTCCCAAAAATGATTTTTACCATATAGATTTTGCTGCCATTGCTGCAAGTTTCTAATAATTTCTTAGCAGCAAGAATCACTTTCCTCAAACGTTTTACAAAATGCCTGCAACTTGGTGAGTCAAAACCTCGAATCTCTTCCAAAAACGGAATCAGAATCTTCAATCGTCTTACGAGGTTAAAACATTCTTTCTGTTGTGTTTTTCGATAACCGTTAATCTGATCCAAAAACTCGATAACCGATACGATATCGCTCACCAATCCATCACAATCATCATCATCATCTTTCACTTCTTCCTCATGAATCTCCACCGCATCCACAACCTCATTGTGGATAGGTTCTTCTGCGGTAACTTCTTCCTCAAGGTTCTCTGCATCTCCTGTGGATTCTTCATCTGCATCCATCACAATGACCATTAGAGACTCTCTATCGCGTTTGAATTGATTCCAAAGATGTTGAAGGAGAAAGCGAACGTTAAGGAAGTTGTAAGCTTAATTTTCGCTTGTTTCATTTTTAGAGAAAAAAGAAAAAAGATTTGTATTCCTTTCTCAAACAACTATTTTTTTTTTGAAATGTGATTCTCACAAATCAGAATTTTGCGGGACAGGACATATATCCTAAAAGAGTGCTTCTCCTGTGGATATAAATAATTTTTTAACAACTAAATTTTCGTTTTCATCATCTTGCTCAAATTCGACCATCCTCTTATGATTATACTACGGAAATATGACTATAACCAAAAAAAGTTTAATAATTAAAAAAGTAACACTTCAGAAAAAACAAGGGTAATATTAAGGAATAGCCAAATAAAACTTACAAATTAAGAAAGTAGCAGAGAGAAAGGTTTCTGTTGCAAAATAGTCATGGACCCACATTGTCGGAGAATGTGAAATAACAAAACCATCCTCCGTTTGTTTTGAGATCAACAGTAGGCGAGATAGTTTCCTGATATTTTTCAAAATAGCACGTAAGATCTAAATTTCACATGTTATATTTAACTAAAATACATGATATTTCAAAAAACATAGTGAATTTTTAAGAAAAAACATTACGTAATGTTTTTTTATAAAAAAAACATTGTTATGGAAAAATTTAACTTGAATGGAATCTTTTTTAAAAGAAATAACATGTGATCTTAATAAAAACCGTGTATTACTAAAAAATAAGAATCTTTTTTAAAAGAAATCACATGTGATCTTAATAAAACACGTGTATTATTATGTATTATTACAAAATAACATGATAAAGAGAGATATTACACTGAATATAATGTTTTTTCGAGAAATACCATGTGTTCTTTATAAATAACGTGTAATACGAGAAAAATACATGATAAAAAGAGATATATTATGCTATCACATGTAATTAAAAAAAAAAAAGCAATATTGTACATAATTTATGTAATAAAGACAATTTGATCCTCTGTTTGAAGTGGACGCTCTTCTTCTTTTTACCTTTTGCGTGAGAAATCTTCTCTCTATGCCATAGTTAGAATTTGAATTGAGGTTTAGTTCCATAGAAATTACAGTTACGAAATCTGAAGCTTCTAGCTTCTTCTCCGATAGTCCCTATATAGTCTAAAAGAGAGAAAGTCGGGTAAATTGCGGCTACGTCGTCTAGGGTTTTCTTGGATTTCATCTGGGGGCTTCGATTTGCAGAGATAAGATCTCAGTTTTTGTGAGATTTATTCCAATTAAGTGGATGTGGTTGGTGTCTGTGTCCCATACTACCATTGAATTTCAATCCCGAGTGTCCTACATGTAGTTCTCCAATCTCTATTTCTTCTCATACCTCTCCAAGCGCCCGTATTTTCCATCCATATTTTCCCGTCTTACTAACCATTCACGGCAATAGTACCATAATCTTCAAAAAGTAGTGAGTAAGTATGGTGCAGACCGAACTAAAATCGGACTAGTCTGCATTTAATTTACCATTCAATGGCTTTGAATGGTTCAATAGTATGCTTCATACTAAAACATACATACCAACATTTTGGTATGGACACATGCATACTTTAATATGCACTAAACAACAGTTTGTACTAAAGCATATCATTTGAATGGTTAAAAACGTACCATAGTATGCAAAAGTGTGTACAAAAAAAACAAAACAAATTTTAACAATTTTCTAATAATAAATAATAACATATCTATTTTTAATAACTACTGTCAAAAATATTTTTTAAAATTATAAATCAAAATCTATTATTTAGATTTTTCCATTCGGCAATACTTTCTCATATATTTGCCATATAGAGTAAAACCTCTATAAATTAATACTCCATAAATTTATAATCTTTTTAAATTAAAAATTTCTCCAGTCCCAAACTAGGCCAGTATAAAAATGACACAATTCGGTAATTTTTTTTTGAAATTCTATGTAACCATATGACCCATCAATATCATAAATTGATAGCTACATAAACTTATCAATATATATATTATATGTAAGAAATTTAGTGAAATAGATGACCCTAATGTTGTTCTTAAAAAGTTTTTTTACATTAATTCTTGTTAGAATTTATTAAAAACTAACTTGGTTAGACGAGATGACCCGTTTATTGTTAGAATTGATAACACTAGAGAAACAACCTGGAAATTCCCGAGGCAAAAGTTTGAGTGAGAAAGGAAAAGAAAACGTTCTCACATAATTGTTGATTTAGGGTTTTTAATTTTTAATTATGTTCTATTTTTCTAATATTAGCATAGTAATATATTGTTTTTTTACACCTTTGCATATTAATATATTTAATTTATCTTAGTCATATTTTTATTTAACTGCTATCACACCCGCTGGTTTATCAGTCACAAAACTTCCGTCAACGTACTTATCTTCAAACGCTAAACCAATTATTCAAAACATTTGGTAACGCTTAAAATCGTAACCGCCAATTTCTGCAAACTCTCGCGAGTGCACCGCATCACACCCACTACGTTTAAACTAGTCAGACGCTAAAGTTTTTAGGGTTAGGACTATCATATTTCAGCACCGATTTTTTTCAAATTAACATCATAAAGTTTTGAAAAAATTAGCTAATTTGAAAAAGTGGTGCAAAAAAATTAAAAAATATATTTATTTAATAAAAATTCATACTGTTTAGACGGTCGCCCAGACCCCTTACATTTTGCTAATAACAATTAACTTCCAAAAGTACTACTCTTTAATACCCATGTTTTATATTTTATTTTATTTGCGAGAAAAACTATATAATTCTAGTTTTTGTCTTTTTGATTTAAAAATTAAAAAATAAAACGAAAAGGGAAAGTGAAATCGTACCTTCTTTTTTAGCTCTTCCAAGTCTCAATTTTCTTCGATGCCTTGGATTTGGGTAAAGAACTCTATCCGTGTATGAATCTCGTTTCGAATCTCCTGAGTGAATAAGTGAAACTGTTCTAAACTTGAGCATCGAATCTCCTATTGCTCAATGTAAGTGAAATCGTTCTTCAATTTCGTCCCTCTGTGGTTTCTTTCTGGGGAAAAGTGAAGTTTCAGAAGCGTCTTGTAGTTTGATTCTGAAACTTAGTTTTGTAGTTTCTTGAGCTTGTATGAATAGGTTACTTTGTCGGAATTTGGATTTAGGTTTTGCTTTTACATGTTTAATCTCTCACTGATTGGTTCGTAAAATAGGTGGATCTCGCTACAATGTGGATAAATTTGCTTCGATTATTTCTCTTGGTGCTATCAAATTTGATTTTCTTGGATCGTAATTATGATATTTGCAGGTCTTCTTGGCATGATTGATGTGTTTGACTTGTGAAGTTGTTTAGATGACGGATGATGATTTCTGAGAAACCATTGGGAGAGGAGTCTATCCGGCAGGATCTGGAGGTTTTAACCGTTTCGAAGCGGCTTGTGAAAAGTGTTAGCCAGAAGTTGAAGAAAAAGATTCATAAATCTGAGGTGGTGGAAGATGAAGTGGATGCAAGAGGAGTGGTTAATTGTTTAAGTATCAGTGTTGGTTGCAGAGTTGCTGATACGGGTGAGGATTTTGAGGATCGTAGTGATAAGAGGTGGTCCAGTGCTAGTGAGGAGGGTAAGGGATTGATGACCATTTGTGGAACTGAAGAAACTAGGTTAGATTGTTTTTCTTATGGGGTTAAAGAGAGGTTCTGGAAGAAGAATAGTAGAAAATATTTAGTTGACTCGGCCCAGGATTATCGCAAGCACATTTTCCTTCCTGATGATATCCTGGAAATGTGTTTGATGAGGCTTCCTTTGACCAGCCTATTGAATGCACAGCTTGTTTGCAAGAAATGGCGATCCATGGCTACCACCCAGCGGTTTCTTCAGATGAGACGAGAAGGCTCCTTTCAAACCCCTTGGTTGTTTCTCTTTGCTGCTCTTAAAGATGGCTGCTCCTCTGGTGATATTCATGGGTATGATGTATCTCAAGACAAATGGCATAGGATTGAATCTGATCTACTTAAAGGCCGGTTTATGTACTCTGTGGCGAGCATCCATGAGGAGATTTATGTAATTGGAGGTCGTTCCATGGACAGGAACTCTATTAAGTCCCACCGAGGGATATTGGCATTCAGTCCTTCAACCAAATCATGGCGTAAAATCGCGTCTATGAGACATGCTAGATCACTTCCCATTGTTGGTGCCATTGAAGTTACTTCAGAATTCTCGACCATACAGACCCAACAGAATCGCCAAGATAGACGCTTTCACCTGTCACGAATGAGCGGAGAATCAGATGTTTATGAAGACCCTCACAGGCTATCGGTAAGACGACAGCACAGAAACTTAGCTGATCAAAACGGAACTAAATCCCACAGGTTAACAAAACAAAAGCTTGATCGGCTTAACCGAAACAGCTCCAAGAGAATTGTGCTCATTGCCATAGGAGGCACTGGATTGTTCGATGAGCCACTTGATTCAGGTGAAATGTACGACTCAGCAACAAACACATGGTCAGAAATTCAGAGACTCCCGATGGATTTCGGGGTTGTGAGTTGTGGGATCATATGCAATGGAATCTTTTACGCTTATTCTGAGAATAATAGGCTATCAGGGTATGACATTGAGAGAGGCTTCTGGATTGCGATCCAAACATCCCCAATCCCTCCTCGAGTTCATGAGTTCTACCCTAAACTCGTCTCCTGCAACCATCGGTTGTTCATGCTCTCTGTTTCATGGTGCGATGAAGGAGATGGACAAATTGGGAGGAGAAACAAAGCGGTGAGAAAGCTGTGGGAGTTGGATCTTGTGTACCTCACATGGACCGAGGTTTCAGTACACCCGGACGCACCAATGGATTGGAACGCCACATATGTCTCAGACCAGAACATAGTAATGGGAGTTGAGATGTTCAAGATCTTTGGGCAGGTATTAAGTTTCTTCACAGTCTGCGATACATTAACGGAAGAAGCTTCCTGGAGACATGTTTCGAGGAACCAAAGAAGTCAAAAACTTAATCTATCTTGTATGAACAAGACCATTGCATTGCTTCATCTCTGATCTTTTTCAATTCATTTTTATAACTTTCAGGACTCGTCAAAATTGATTGATTCATGTATTGGAAAGAAATGCAATGTGCTAGTCCCTTAGATTGATTTGAAATGTAATGTTTATAATTTAATATTTTCGGGATGTTTAGCAGCTCTACCACTAGGGATAGAACTGTGTTCAGATCACTATCGAAACAAGGAGATAAAGTAAACATTTGAAACTTGAAAAACTTTATAGCAAAGAATCAAACTTTTGATTGTTTGGTTCATTTTTGTGTCCATTCATAACTCTTGACAGTTGATAGGGCTACGACAGAGGTGGTCATTGTTAGTGATGACTTTTAACCGTAGTGACTTTATAAGTTTTATCTTTCACATCTTCTTTTTGTCAATTAAGTTTTAACTATCCTAAACTTTCTCACAACCCAAAGAAGTCTCTAACAGTCTAGATTATCTTTTTATAGAAGCCAACGTTTGGGATTTTGTTAAACAGATGATTTTACTTGAATTTTTGAGAAATGCTTCTTGTACTCCTTTTCAAAAATGTCTGTACAAGAATATTTTCAAAAAATACATTTTTAAATGTCCTTAATGTTTATGAAGGCGCTTGTGATGGCTAGACCTCCAAATCATCTTTACAAAACTTTTTAAAATCTATCTATTACTAATAAAAGGTGCTCATTGAAGCTTCTCAATGTGTCCACCTCAGCTATTTTTAAAACACTCTCTCCAATAGCCACGTCAGCTTTTGAGAACAGCTTTTGAAAACTTTTTTCTCAAGATGCCAAGTCAGCTAATTAGGCTAAGAAACTCATTAAAACATACGAACAGTCAAGTTTTAACCTAAACTCATCGTCTTCGCTTCCACACTACCACGATCTCTTCGGTTTCAAGTTTCTGTCATCATCTATGGCTTCCCATTTTCTTACAAGAATTATGCCGTCCTCCCAAGTCCCAACCTACATCGATGTTGTCCAGAATTAGAGAGAGCAGAGACAAAGGCTGAGGAGAAGCAGTTTGTACATCGCGGGAAAACCCTAACCTACGATCTTCTCGCGATCCCTAATCACTCTACAACGACCATACCACAGTTCACATTATCAAGCTAGAGATTCGTGTTTCTTCGTTCGAACTTTAAGTCGGTATGTCTTCTGCACGTTATGAAAAGTTTATTCTTCTCTGTTGAAGGGTTTAAAGTCTTCAATGATGGCTTATTTTACCTAATTAGAATCCAGTTAACATATGGTGGGTTTCTATAAACCCTAGGTAATGGTCGACGCTAGGATTTTGGTATGAAAGCATGGTTATTAGTTCATATATGCATGCTGGATGGAGAATTGGGGATTTTGGATTCAATCAGAGAGATAATATGCCTTTTTAAAAACTCAATATATCCTTGGAAACTTAAGATACCAAGGAAGAGGATTTATGTTGCAGAGGTTCACAATTACATGAGATTTGTGGCGGATTAGGGCATATCATACGAAGGAAACTCCAAAGGAACAAGTAAAAGACGAGAAAAGTGGAGGAAATAAAAGAGAAAAGGAAGGAAATGGGAGTCACATGCTACTGTGATGGAAGCAAAGAAGAATAAATCATAAATGGAGGCCTGAATCTCGAGTAACCATGGCTTCCTTCTACAAATTTCGATTTACATGAAATTTGCAAGACATTAAGTGAAGTCTAACACATTACAACTTTAGAAGCTCATGTTAGATACTTTTTTAATACTTGCAATGAAGCGTAGTATTATATGCCACCATGAATGAATTAAAAGAAAAGATAATGATGAAGTCTCACAGCGATGTACACCATGATTGATGTTTGTTTAGACCTCTCCGCTTATGTGCATGTGCTCAGGATTCAAAATCAAGGCTTGTCTCCAAAACGCAAAGGTACTTTCTTTTAATATCGTTTTAGATAGCTTATCTGTGGAGGATACCGAAAAACATAGGAGATTTTGGACAAGTATTTTCCTTTAGTAATCCTTGAACCACCGGTTACAAGAAAAATCAATGATCAAAACTGAAATAGAACCTACAACCAAGCACCCAAGGTATTACGATGCTCTTTTTTGTGTTTGTGTGTGACTAAATGTACAGCTGGCGATAGAGCTACGACGCTCACTGGCGCTTACAGTCCTAATCTCAAGATTCAAAAACAATATGCCCTTCGGAAACGGCAAGGTACAATATGTTTTCATAGCTTTAGTCTCAATAATGGTAAACATGTGGGCGAGTTTTATCTGTTTGAGTGGACAGATAAAAGATCCTGAATCTGAATGTGTATGATCCTGTAACAGAAACCTTTCAGATATGAACGTTCCCATTTGCAATCTAGAAACCAAGTTCAAACTCGTGGAATAAAGCCGCCGTTATTTACAAGCAATGTTGCTGCTTCTGCGGCAGATCTACAGGGCACAAATTTGCTTTTTTATATCATAAAAGACACAACAAGATCTAAAGAGCAAATGATTATATCAACATTCCAAGGCTTGGAGTCTCCAAAAGATCATAGATGCATCTGAAGTTTTATGGGCTGTGTCACCGTATCGATCAAAATTGTTGAAATATATACTGTGTGCATATACACTCGAGCATATATAACTGCATAAATGAAGATACGTGTAGCACAAAAAACATTGGATAAGTCATCATACCATTTTTGATATATCACATAAGAGTACTCTAAGCAATATTATACAAACTAATAGATAAAAAAAAAATATATAGTACTATTTAATTTTCTTTATTAAAATGTTAAATACAACATTACATAATTGTTTTGTATATATTACTAAAGAAACTAAAAAAAATCTACACTTCAATAAACTAACTAAAAAATGTTAATTGTCCGATATATATACCCGGGCGTAGCCCGGATTAACCCCTAGTTACTAATAAAAGTTGCTCATTGAGGTCTCTCAATGTGTCCACATCAACTATTTTTGAAAAACTCTCTTTATATGACACATCAGCTAACGAGGTAAAAGAATATCCACATCAGATTTTTTTAACTCAGTTAAAACATACGAACAGTTTTAACCTAAACCCATCGTCTCCCACAAAACCACGGTCTCTTCAGTTTCAAGTTTCTCTCATCGTCTATGGCTTCCCAGTTTCTTACAAGTATTCCATCCTCCCAACTTACATCGATGTTGTCCCGTAGAAAAAGTGTTCGTTTGGATTTCAACAATGAGAATTAATTAGAGACAGAGGCGGAGGAGAAGCAATTCGTACATCGAAGGAAAGGAAATTAGGGAACCTTAACCTACGATCTTCTCGCCATCCCTTCTCACGCTACAACGACCATATCATATTGGGAAAATTCGTGTTTCACCGTAGATTCGTGTTTCTCCCTTCGAACTTTAAATCAGTATTATGAAAAGTTCATATATTCTTCTCTGTTGAAGGGTTTAACGTCTTCATTGGTGGCTTATTTTACCTAATTAAAATCCAGTTAATATATGCTGGGTTTCTAGAAATTCTAGGTAATCGTCGACACTAGGATTTTGTTATGAAAGCATGGTTATTAGTTTATATACCCATGCGGGATGGAGAATTGGGGATTTTGAAATCAATCATTTGAACGTATTAGAGTGAACATTTATCCTATATAATATACATCTTTTTAAACCCAACATATATATATATCCTTGGAAATTTAAGATACCAAGGAAGAGGATTTATGTTGCAGACTGCAGAGATTCAACACAACATGAGATTTGTGGCGGAATAGAACATCAAACGAAGGAAAATCCAAATGAACAAGTAAAAGACCAGAAAAATGGAAGAAATAAAAGACCAAAGGAGGGAAATGGGAGTCACATGCTACTGTGATGGAAGCAAAGAAGAACATATCACTACAAGAAAACAGGCAGATAACGACTACCATATTAGTAGCAGAATAGTCGGTAAACTGACTTTAACGACTATTTGGCGACTAAATCTTGTAGTTGTAAATAGCTAGTCGCTAAAATAGGTAGTCGTTATTGTAGTCGCTAAAAGGCGACTAATTTACGACTAGTGTAGCCAACGAGAAGTTAGTCGTAAGGTAGACGTCAAATAGTCGTAGCGTAGTCGCCAAATTTAGTGACTAATTGACGACTATATTGCGACTATGATCGTATTTATACAGTATTTATGTATTTATACATTATTGTATTTATACAGCTTATGTATATATATATATATATAAATTAATTCAATAATAATATTTATATTGTTATTAATTATTTTAAACTATATTTAAATTATGAATAATGTTTTTTGGAATCAAATGATATTAAAAATAAAAATATTATATTTAATTATTATGAAACCATATTTAAAAAAAAATGTATTACAAAATAAAACTAAAAACATAATTAAAAATAAGAATACATCATCCTCCTAAAAACATAATTAAAACCAAGTAGATAACAATCTTCAAGAAAGAACTTGGCTTAATTAACTCTTTTGATTTCAACTCTTCTTCCTTGTCTTACTTTTTTATGCTTTTCTTCTCCAAAAACTGCCTCCTAGTTATTGGTCTGGTCGAGATCCTCTACCTGAAAAAAGAAACGCAACATGAGAAGGCAAGGACATAACATCTTAAGAGAGCACGCCAACTAGGTCTAACTATCCAACTCTAGAATACAAACACACATAAGACGAAAGCATCAAAGACTATCAATACGAGCTGAAATTTAAAATGCAAAGAACTTGGCGAGATAAGTCAAACAGTTCTTAAGACACAAGCGTCATTTTGGCAACTTAATGACCCGTTGATTAATGATACTTACATTCATATTAAACACAAAAAATAGACTTTGTTGATGTTAAAGCAGAACTAAAAATCTATAGTTTATTATCAAAAAGCACAATCATTCATCCATGGGGTAGCAACTCGGTCATGAAGCTCATTTGACTCTGTATAAAATAATCAGGCATCCATAGTAGTATAGCAATAACAAGAAGCAAAGACAATAAACAAATTTACTTTGTCCAAAGTCTATGTACGTTCAAAATATGAGAGCAAGTGAACTTGTACCTTAAACTCAAAGTGTTGGGACTTTTCTAAAACATCTCTTAGGCTGCGCTGGACAAAAATGACATCACTCCTCTGATATAAACAGTGGCAACCATGGTATACATTCACTTCATCTGTGAACACGAAACAAAACCCATACACATAGAGAAATATGAATCGAAGTTAGCCCCTAAAACTGAGATGCTAGGATATTCACAAACAAGTAATTATGTTTTATCTAGTTCAATTAGCTTAGATATTCACTAAGCGAAAAAACACAAGGAGTTCAAAAGGACAAACATTTGCTTTGATAGAAACTCCAACGTACGTAGAACCAAATTATACAAGTACTCAACTTTCTTGGGAGTAAACTTGAACCGAGCCCTGAAGCAGTAAAACAGCTACAGATTTAGAGCAACACAAAATTTGAAACCCAATTCTCAATTACCCTAAAAAATGGAATAAGTTGAAATCAAACGAGAAACAAATTTCTGAAAATCGAAGCAAAATACCACAAACCTTCAGCGAATTCACAGGAATCTGCCCATCATCTTCATTTCCAGTGAGTTCTCCGGTAATAATTTTGAAGGTATTCTTCTAGATTCTCCGACAAATCAACTTCCCAATTAGCCATTGAATCCCTCTCCAGCTGTACCGTGTGGATCCTCTCGCCGCGAACTCCACAAATTGGAGGCCATCAACACGAGCCACAGAGTTGTCTCGAGGCGCCGCAAATTGAGATCTCAAATCACGAACTCTATATCTCCGACGACCACCACTGACAACTATATATGAGGGATTAGATAACACCAGTGACACAAAGGATCCCTCTCACGTCACCGGCGAAGGCACCGGACGCCGGAGAGGCAAAACGGCGTTCATTTGTGGTGGAGGCGAGCTAACGAGCTGTGGATGCGAGGGTATTAGGTTAGAGGAGATAAGGGAAAAACCGAGAAAGAAGACTTCAGCACAAAATAAAAGAGTAAGGCTTTGAAGAATTTTAGGCCCAAATTTCATTTCTCCCCGACTCAAATTTCATTTCCCCCCAATATTTCCCCCCAATAAGCCTCAAATTTCAATTTCCCCTAATTTTAAATCCAGATTTTAAGTCTTCCAAAATTAATTTAATAAACTATGGGTTGAAATGCAACCGATTTGGAATTTAATTTTAATACAACAGTTCATAAATTTAATTTTAATACTAAATTGTTAGATTTGATATAGATTTCAAAGAATTTAGATTTATAAATCTGAAATTTTATATATATTTTTAAGTGTATGATTCCAGTTTTGAAAATAAAATAATATATATATATATATATAATATAATTAAAAGAATCAAATCAAACACTTTTTAAATAAAAATGTTTTTATACATATATAATGGTTATATTTTGGTTGAATGGTTTGTGATATAATTTATATATATGCATAATGCATTAGAAGAGTTTAAAATTAAAACTTTAGGGTTTGGAGGTTAAGCTTAGGGTTTGAAGTATAGGGTTTGGGGTTTAAGTTTTGATTAAAAAATAAGATTTGGAAAACTATAATTTTTTTTAAGTGTTAGTTTTCAGTTTATGGATATATTATTGTAACTAGATAATTTTTTTGAATTTTGAGATTTAAAGTTTTGTATTTAGGTTTTAGAAAAAAATGGTGAAGTTTGATTATATAAACAGTTATGGAAACTAAATAGTGACTACAAAACCACCAGAATGTGACTATGTTTTGTAGTCACATATTAGTCACCAAATTAGCGACTTTTTTGTGACTACTTTTTTCCGTATGCAATGTAGTCATAAAGTAGTCGCCTATTTAGCGACTACGTTCAATAGTCATTCAAAATAGTCGCCTATTTAGCGACTACGATACGACTATAGTCGGGGTCTTATATGTTAGTCGTATAATAGTCGCTATATTACGACTATTTGAATGACTACAGTATGTAGTCGTTAATTAGCGACTATTATACGACTATATACTTGTAGTCGTAACATTAGTCGCAGAGTAGTCGTATTTTAGTCATATAAATTAGCGACTACACAATTAGTCGCCGACCGTAGTCGGTAATCGCCTGTTTTCTTGTAGTGTATATATATCACATATGGTGGCCTGAATTGTGAGTAACCATATGGCTTCCTTTACAAATTTCAGTTTTACATTAAATACATTAAGTGAAGTCTAGACATTACAATTTATAAGCTCATGTTACATATGTTGTTTAAACTTGAAAAGCTTAAGGCCCAAGTAATTACATAAACAAGTCGGTTTATGTTAATAAGAAGGTTCTAGGGTTTAGTTAATATGTATGGTTAACTAACTCATGTATGGTTAAAGTCTTAAGGGTTTGTTCCCTATAAATAGAGGTGCCAAGATGTGGTAAACCCTATGTGTGTGTTTTAGAGAACAAGAGATTTGTGTAGGTTTAAGTTTTTGTGTAAGTTTTCTTAAACAAATAAAGAGAGGAGTCTTTGTTAAAAGCAAATCTTGTGTGCAAGTAGTTCAATCAATAATTGGTATCAGAGCAATATTGATTTCGAACTACAAACGTTCGTGAAAGCAACACCACTAGAAAAGTTCTTACGCTTGAAGAACAGAACATGGCAGAGTTGGTTCCTGCGACCAAGCCGAAGGAAACCGGATCATCATCGATCCGGTGTCCCATGCTTACCACCACAAACTATACTGTATGGACCATGAGAATGAAACCGATGCTCAGGGTAAACAAGGTATGGGAAGCTATTGACCCAGGGACAACCGATGATGACCTAAACGATATGGCAAAAGCACTTCTGTTTCAATCCATACCTGAGTCATTGATTCTGCAAGTTGGTGAGTATGAGACTGCAAAACAAGTTTGGGATGCTATCAAAACTAGATACATAGGAGCAGACAGAGTAAAAGAAGCACGACTCCAAACCCTAACAGCTGAATTTGATCGGATCAAGATGAAAGAAACTGATTCAATAGATGAGTTTGTAGGAAAACTTTCAGAGATATCTACCAAATCCGCTGCCCTAGGAGAAAAGATAGAAGAAATCAAACTTGTTAAGAAATTTCTAAAGTGCCTACCAAGGAAAAGATATATTCAAATAGTAGCATCACTTGAACAGGTTCTTGATCTCAAGAAAACAAGTTTTGAAGAAATTGTAGGAAGAATCAAAGTATATGAGGAAAGAGTTTGTGATGAAGAAGAAGAACCATCAAGTGATCAGGGAAAACTTCTATATACAAACTATGAAACTCAACCATATCAGGGTAACTATGGAGGAGGTAGAGGCAGAGGACAAGGTGGAAGAAACTCACAATCATGGAGAGGACGTGGTCGTCTATCCGGACCTCAAAACGGAGGAAGAGGACAAGAAAGAGACAGATCAAAAGTAATTTGCTATCGATGTGATAAAGTAGGGCATTTTGCTTCTAATTGTCCGGACAGACTGCTTAAACTACAAGAAGCTCAAGAACAAAAGGATGATGAAACTCATGAAGCAGAAGAACTAATGATGCATGAAGTAGTTTATCTCAATGAAAAGAATGTGAAACCAAGCAACTTTGAGACTCAGAGTGATGAAAACAATGTCTGGTATCTTGATAATGGAGCAAGCAATCATATGTCTGGGAACAGAGAATATTTTTCAAAGATTGATGAGACAATAACAGGCAAAGTAAGATTTGGTGATGACACACGCATTGACATAAAAGGAAAAGTGTCTGTATTGTTCATAAGCAAGAACAAAGAAAAGAAAATTCTTGCTGATGTATACTACATACCAGAACTAAAATCTAATATCATCAGTCTTGGCCAAGCAACAGAGTCTGGCTGTGATGTCAGAATGAAAGATAACTATCTTACCGTTCATGACAAAGATGGAAAGCTGCTTGTAAAAACAAAAAGGTCCAAAAATAGGTTATACAAAGTCCTCATGAAACTTGAAACTGCAGAATGTCTACAAGTAACAGAGATAAGTGAGTCAAGAAGGTGGCATGCGAGATTAGGACATATAGGAAGCCAAATGTTGGAAACAATGTTCAAGAAGGAGCTTGTTACTGGCTTACCTACAATAAAAATTGAGAAAGAAATTTGCCCCTCGTGTCAACTTGGAAAACAAGTGAGAAAGCCTTTTCCTGCAGCAACCATGTTTAGAGCTGAAAAGAGACTAGAACTCATACATGGAGACCTTTGTGGTCCCATAACACCCTCCACAACAGCAAGAAACAGGTATATATTCGTGCTAATCGATGATCACTCTAGGTACATGTGGTCTATACTCCTAAAGGAGAAAAGTGAAACATTTGAAAAGTTCAAGAAGTTTAAAATGCTAGTTGAGCAAGAAACAGGAACTTCCATTAAAACATTTAGGACTGACAGAGGAGGTGAATTTACATCTCATGAGTTTCAAAGCTTTTGTGAAGCAGCAGGTATACAAAGACATCTTACAGCACCTTACTCTCCACAACAAAATGGGGTTGTAGAAAGAAGAAACAGGACCCTCATGGAAATGACCAGAAGCATACTGAAACACATGAATATGCCTAATTACCTATGGGGAGAGGCTATAAGACACTCTACTTACTTGATCAATCGGATTGGAACAAGAGTTTTGAATGCTCAAACTCCATATGAAGTCTACAAAGGAAGAAAGCCTAATATAGAACACTTACGGGTATTTGGATGTTTAGGCTATGCAAAGACTGATGGAGCTCATCTTAAGAAACTAGATGATCGATCCAAGGCTTTAGTTCACTTAGGAACAGAACCGGGTACAAAAGCATATAGACTACTAGACCCTACAAGTCGAAAAATTGTGGTTAGTAGAGATGTAGTGTTTGACGAAAGTAAAAGCTGGACATGGAGTCATACAGAGAAAAATAATGTTGAAAACTTTGAATCATTCAAAGTCAGTATTGGAGAATTTGGAAACAATGGGTTAAGAGAAGATCAAGGTGAAACAGAACAGAGTATTGAGAAGGAAAACATTACAGAAATAACAAACAATGAGTCAGAAAACCAGGATGGTGAAGAAACTCATGATGATTCTTCTGAAGAGGAAACAGAGGAACCAGAGAATGTTGAGGATCAAGTCCAAGATCAGAATCTACAAAATCCACTGAATAATCAAACACCACCAGTTCTAAGAGCTTCACAGAGGCAAGTCACAAGGCCAAAATATCTAAATGACTACATTCTGTTTGCAGAAATAGAAGTTGAAAGATTACTAATGGCCATAAATGACGAACCATGGGATTATCAGGAGGCAAAAGAATCTAGTGAGTGGAAGGAAGCATGTGAAGATGAGATTTCTTCTATTACCAAGAATAAAACATGGAATTTAGTAGATTTACCTGCAGGAGCAAAGCCAATAGGGCTGAAATGGGTTTTCAAAATAAAAAGAAATTCAGATGGAAGCATAAACAAGTACAAGGCAAGACTTGTTGCAAAAGGATACGTACAAAAACATGGAATAGACTTTGATGAAGTCTTTGCTCCTGTAGCTCGCATAGAAACAATTCGGCTTATTTTAGCATTAGCAGCATCAAATGGGTGGGAAGTGCATCACCTAGATGTAAAAACGGCTTTCTTGCATGGAGAATTAAAAGAAGTAGTGTTTGTAACACAGCCTGAGGGATTTGTGGTTTCAGGGAATGAAAACAAGGTATATAAACTGAACAAAGCCCTTTATGGACTAAAACAGGCTCCTAGAGCCTGGAACATCAAGCTCAATAAAATTCTCAGAGAGTTGAAGTTTGCAAAGTGCT